CGTTATTAGTTTTTTTATTTCTCTTATTTTAAACGGTCGCCTGTAATGTGACACTGGAGCATCCAGCACAAAGGTCACACACCACCTTTGGTATGTAAATTACTTTACAACCTTGACTTGTAATGTGAAAATTCAGATTGTTTAATTCATATAGTACTCACATGACCCCTGTTGCTATTTTGGTTCCAAGAGAAATCAAAATGTTCCTGAGAAAAACTGGACCAAAAATTTGATATTTAGTGGCCTCTCGGTGTCCAACTTCATAAGACAGGCTGTCTCCCTAATGGCCATTCAACGAACATGTACGTCTTTCAATTTTCCCATAAAATTGCATGACAACTGACCTTGGCTGGCCTTACCTCATATATTGCACTTGTGTATGGCAAATACAAACTCCATACTTGCAGACTGTCGGACATTGTATTGGCTGTTATAAACATTGGATATTATATAATGTGCCGAAAACTGACCCTTTCCCTAGATGGCAAGTCTTTTTAAAGCCTTTGGATACTTTTCAGAGCAAAAATTGTTTATTTTTACTCAACATATTGGTTACCTTAAAAAGTGAACTATTAATGGTCAAAAATGTACATAAAAATAGTGTGACCTAGTGACAAACACTAAACACTTTTGAAAACAGTTCACTTTTTGAACATACCTAGGCAAATTTTATGGACATTGCATGTTCACCAATGTTTACCTTCCAGTCAGCATTTGTCCCACACTTGTGTTCATGCTGTTGATATTAGCTGGATGTCAGATTCTGGCTATCAGGGATGAAAACGGGTCACCAATAAATCTGTGTTCCCCTCCCACTACAGTGTAGGAATGTGTTATAATAGAGACCCTTGCAATGCCACAGAACTGCTTTCTTGACAGCAATTAATCAGGGATCTAAGGAAAAAGTTGCCTGTGCCACACATGAAACTAAAACCTTGTTAAGTCCATCTGCGAAACACTGCCGAAATCCTTGTCCCCCACCAGTGTACCAGGATTTAAGTAGGTGTCATGATTGACCTGTTAGAAAAGCCATTGTCATTTTGTTAGAATTTGTTTAAAAGGAAGTTCAAAACGTAGTTCTGGTAATTTGTTGAGTCTGTTGGGGACCCAGAACAAGCTAGGTTGTTGGCGATGCTTCACAGACATAACCACCAACTGAGGTTAAATTACGTCCGTGATGCAGGCTAAGGAAAAAGTTGGCCTTGTTTCGGTGTTGGCAACAAAATAGTTGCGACAGTTAGTCCTAAAGGGTCTCTCTGGTGTTTACTCATTTCCAAAAGGAAAAATAAGAAGCTCAAGCTTCCTCTCCCATTTTCTCCAAGCCATGATCTGCTGCTGTTTGAGTTACCTGTATAACCAACCCACCTTAGCCTCATTCATTGATTGTTAAATAACAATCATCATTATTATAACTAGAGGAAATTTTAAGTTGGTACTTGTACAAATAACTGAGCACTGTTGTTTTCTTAGCAGAAATCATGCAGGGTACACCTGAGAGAAAGAATCCAAGAGATGGTGCTAATGTGCTCTCAATCATATTCATTCAGTGGATGCAGGATTTGCTCAGTCTTGGAAATAAACGGCCACTAACTGATAAAGACTTGTTTCCACTTTTGGAAGATTACAAAGCTGAATTGCTCATGGCCAGGGCTGAAAAATGCTGGTTAGATGAACTAAAAAACAGTGATAAAGAAAACAAGAAGCCACAGTTATGGAAAGCACTGATAAAGCTCATCCCATGGAGATCTGGTCTTGCAATGATAATCTTAAGAATTCTTTGGTCTTTGAGTTTTGTCTTGCTGCCATTGTCTCTCTGGGTGGTGTTAAAGGAGCTAAATGATGGAACAGGTATGGATATGAAACGAGCATCCATGTATGTGGCACTTTTAGCGCTAATAAGCATTGTGAAAGCAGTATCAACTCCACACTATGACTATATCACCGAGCTCTGGGCTTTGAAGCTGAAAGTTGCTGTAATAGGACTTGTTTACAAGAAGGTAAGAGTTGTTTTAAAGTAGATTTTAGTTTTAGGGGGCTAAGTGGTGTTGTTTTGTTGTGTTTGGGAAGGTGTGTGTGGCAGGAGGCCCATTCCTCTCGCCTTTATGGGGTTTTGCCAAATTGGCCTCTGGCAAAAGAGGTGCCTACCGGTATATACTAGCTGTCTTCTAGAGTTGCCCTTTTAAAGAAAGTTGACTACAGAGGCATTACATTCTTTGGCAGTCACTGAAGACAGTTCCATGACAAATGGTCTGAACAAAATTAGCCTATGGTGAAGGTTCTACTGTAGCTTCTAAGCTTTGACAAAAAGCTAGTTTCGGAAAGAGCTTAAATAAGGATATAAATAACCAGGAAGACTGGGGAAGTTAGAGTGAGAAAGAATTAGTATGATCCATAAGGGGAAGAGAAAGAAGAAAGCCTTCTCTAAAATGCATCCCACATGTACCTGTGTTTTGCAAAGAAAATTGTCAGAAAAGTACCTTGCAGAAGTATTCTTTCATCTTTAAGTGCACTGTAGCCAGTAAGATGGTGAAATATCTGTTCGGAAGACGACTTGAGATCTAGAATTTTCGGAGCATTTGTTGTTCAATTTCTTGCTTGCCTGCCTCTCCTAGGATTTTCGAACTCCCCCAAAAATGGTATAATTGCCCATTTTTAACGGATTTTTACCCTAAAAAGGTCACCTAGAATTTTCGGAAGCCTTTTTTTCTGGCTGAAATTTTCGAAAAGGTAAGTTTTGATCCCTATAACTTTCGGTTTCCGCTAGGAAATCCGAACAGATGAAAACATTTTAAGGGGATAAAAATTTGCCTATATCTACCGTTTAAATACTAAAATACTTTTAACAATGCTATGTTTAAATGGTTTTGAACTATATTCACGTTGGGTGCCCCTGAATTTTAAGCCTGGCCCCGGCTATTCAAAAGTTGGACACCGGATAAATTGCTATCCATTGGATAAGTATTAGTATTTATTATTGTTGTTTTATTTCTCATGCACTGTAAGTACGTTCCGTAAAATAATTAACCAACAAAAAAATCATTTTACTGCTGTTAATAGTAACAGGCCTTTTGCACCAAGAGGTCATGTGACATCGTTTTACGAAAATGAAAGTTACATGATTTTTTCTTCAAAAAACGATATGTGGGTCCTATTTTTAGCAAAATAATAGTGATTTGGTTTTTCAAACCTGTACCATTTTCTTAAAATGAGTGAGTGGGTAGCTGGTCACGTGACCAAACTGTGATTTTTAAAATTATGAATTACCTCTTTCTAAACACAAATTTTGCACTTAAACTTCAAGGAAAGTGTTGAAAAGTTGATGTGGGAATGTTTACAGCACATCTGATCTTAACTATCAAACGTTAACAAGATCTAAACAAAAATTAGTTTTGGCCGCCGTGTTGGAGGGCAAGAGTATGGCCTCCAACATGGCGGCCAATACAAATGATACTACTTTGTTGAAAAATCAAAGTGCCATAAAATATCTCCCTTAAATGCGTTTCCTCTCAAATTTCGGGTGTAAGATAATTTTTATATGCTCTGTCAATTTTTGGCATCAGCAAGATTCCAACTCATTGTTTAAAGGAAGCATTGGTCACGTGACCTCTTAGTGCAAGTGGCCTATTCTTTCGGATTTATTTGATCTGCCTAAGTTCTGTTTGTTTCTATTGCTGCTAGGTACTCTCGCTAAATCGCTATGGATTGGAATCAAAATTGTCTGGAAACATCATAAACTTGGTATCGAACGATGCACAAAAAGTCGAGAAGTTCCTGAAAGATCTAGGCATGATTATGTCTGTCCCTTTGGAACTAACAATCAGCCTGGTTATCCTGTGGTACTTGGTTGGCTGGGAGGCTTTCATTGGTGCAGCTTTCTTTTTCATTTTAATGGCCTTTCAAGTGGTAATGGCAAGAAAGGCTGCGAATCTTAGATACAAAGCAGCAGCGTTTACAGATCAGCGTCTTGCGGTGATGAATGAAATTATTTCTGGAATTCGAGCGGTGAAAATGTATGCTTGGGAATGGAACTTCAAGGAAATCTTGTATGATCTTCGCAGGTAACGGGTTTCCACATAATGATTACAGTGCTTAAATGTAGCTTCTCGGCTTCAAATAAAGGCAATATACCACAGTACTAACACAAAATATAGAAAGAAAGAAAAAAAAGAAAAGAGGAGAAAAGAAAGAAAAGCAAAAACAACAAAAACAAAAACACTATTTTCTATGCGAAGCCAATGGACATCAACGATTAATCCGTTTCGGTTTCCGCTTATCGGAGCTTAAAACAAGGAAACGAATCAATTAATGCGTTGTACTCCGCGTAGTTATCAGCGGCCGCTGTACGGGCGATCAAACGAGGTTTAGTAAAGGTGGCCTTAAGTAGAGCTGTGCGCTTACGAGAGAGACTGCGCGCACCCGAAATCTCACTATGGTTCCTAATTGTTAGCTTGCCCACAAATGTTTTTCCCCTTTTTTTTTGTAATTTAGCGAGTGAGTGATTCGATCGGCGAGCGCGCGAGTAGTTAATAAATTCCCCGCGGTTTATATCCTCATACGTGAGCTCGAAGATCTCTAAAGGGAAAATAGTTGGTTTCTGAACGGGCTACTAATAGTTGTTTTACATTTACTTCTTTTGCAGAAAGGAGATGGCGATAATTCGTTTGAAAGGCATCATTGTTTCCCTCCTTATTGTTTTGTATTACACTACTCCTCCCGTCGCCGGTCTGATTGCAGTAACAATCCTCGCCCTGATAGGAGCACATCTATCTTCTTTTGTGATATTTACACTTATCATAAGCTTTGTGACGATGAGGTTTATTTTCTGCGTCAACCTAAGTCAAATCTTGTACCAGGCCATCGATGCTAAAGTTGCACTCGACAGAGTGCAAGTCTTTCTTAAGGAAACAGTTTCAAACTCCCATGGAATGGCGGAGCAGCTCGAGAATAGCCCTCCCCTGTCAGAACAAGAAAATCCTAAAGATAAACTTTTTGTACAATTTAAAGGTACGAAGAAAATGCCCAACTACAGGGGAAAAGACGAACTGGCAGATGAATGTTCTCTTACATTTGTCTCCAACGCAATTCCTACTGCAAACAAAGAGACAGCGGCTTCAATCATGGATACCTGCGTAAGTGGACATACATCTGCTTTAGGTAGTACTGATGAAACGATTGACTCATTTATCTCAATTTCGGATGCATCGTTTTCTTGGAATGAAGGTCACTACTCCGACACCTTAAGCAGCATAACTTTAAACATTAGTGGAGGGGAATTGTTTGCAGTAACGGGTGCAGTCGGAAGTGGAAAATCCTCTCTGCTAACAGCTATTCTTGGCGAGTTACCACTTCGAAATGGATCGGTTTCATTTCGTGGGAAAGTGGCTTACGTTCCTCAAATGCCCTGGGTGTTTTCTGGAACTGTTAGGGAGAACATCCTGTTTGGTCTGTCATTTGACGAAAAGAGATTCCAACATGTTGTTCATGTCTGTAGTTTAACGAAGGACTTGAACGATTTTCTCAACGGCGATCTGACGGAAATTGGACAACGTGGAGTAACACTCAGTGGAGGTCAGAAAGCGCGCGTAGGTTTAGCACGAGCAGTTTATTCAAACGCTGACATTTTTCTTCTCGATGATCCACTGAGCGCAGTCGATACCAAGGTCGGAGGCAAACTTTTCGAAAGCTGCATTTTAGGAGAGCTGTCAGGTCGTGTTCGCTTACTGGCGACCCACCAGCTACAGTATCTGACAAAGGTGGATAGGATTGCTGTGTTGGAAAAGGGTTCAATTACGCACCTGGGAGGGTATGAGGAACTTAGAGAGAAAGGAGCCTTTCACGGTATTGTGGAATTGTCAGAGCCCAGTGATAAGAAAACCGCAAGGAGCTTAGAGAAAGACAGCCTTGAACTTCCCGTTCTGACATTATCTGACAAAGGAGCGCAAGAATCTTCGTTGGATTGTTTGGATGTGAAAATAAAGAGTTCAGGTGTATGTCAGGATGGAAGCGCGGAGCCTAAACCATCAGAAAGCTTACGGCGGGTGAGTGTGGTTGACGATAGCGAGGAAGAGAGCAATGAAAAGTTGCTAGGTAAATCCTCGCCTTCCCTTGTTCTGTCTGAGAAAGAATGTGGCCTTCTAGATGAGCTGGAGATCACTGAACTGGAAAGAAATGGGACTGAAATTACCGGCGTGCTTGAACACAGCATTCGGGAACTTTTTGCCCATTTTTCGTTTGAACGAGGGGAACGTGAATCTTTGTTGGCTTTCTTTGAGATGGATAAGAGTTTAGCTGACTGTCAGGAAGAATGCACCGAGTCTAAATTCACCGAGAATTCGCAGAGCGCGAGTCACACTGTAAAGCAAAGCGAGGAAGATATCAATAAAAAGCTGTTGGGAAAATCATGTACCAAACCTCTTTCGTGTGAAGAAGAAAGCGATAGTGAGTTGGCTGAACTGGGTGAGGCTAGTTCCCCAGAGAGGGTTTGTCTCATGGGAAAGCAGACTGATCAGAGACCTGTTCGCGATTTGAAGGAATCAGAAGAACAAAAAAGCAGTGGTACTGTTACTTGGCGTCTCTATTGGAGGTATCTGAATCAAGGCGTTCCCGTTCCAATGATAATCCTCGTTGCTCTTCTGTTGATTGTCGGACAAGGTAAGACCGAACACAGAATTTCAATTACAGTAAAACCACACTTTGCGCGGACATCCGCTTAATACGGACACCCATGAGACGCCTCCTTATTACGGAAGTTTGCTTTGTCCTAGACTGCGAGCAGCCTCTCTTTTTCTTCAGATTTAGTAAGGGGAGTGCACGCGCACGCGAGCGTTGAGCGGGACGCGAGAAACGAGGGCGGCAGCCTGTGTCGTGCCTCTCTCGTCTCGCGCCTTCAGTCACGCGCGTGGTCATTTGCGTGTTTCGGGCGTTTTGCTCGACGGACCAAGAAAAAAGAGAGACTGCTCGTAGTCTAGCTTTGTCCCTGGGGAAAGAAAACCGTTACATTGTCTTTAAATTCAACCCGCTTAATACGAACTCCCCATTGATACGAACACTTTCTTTGCCCCCCTCAGTGTTCGTATTAACGAGGTTTGACTTTACTTGTTTTATGCAGAAATTGGTGAAAACGCCAAAGTCAAACTTTATCAAAGTAGGTTTAGCACATATCAAGTAAGGAATGAACTGGTTTAGTATTACCGTAATCATCTAGAAAACTTACGAACCCAGGCTGGAAACTCGTACTCAATTCCGCACTCGTAAGAGGACGTCCAAGCTAGAAAAATCGCTGAAGGCGTCGTTATTACATTGAGACGTCCGTTTTTAGCACCAGTATTTTTGCTTACCTAACCGTTTTAGATACTGTTTCTGTTACACTGGATCAAGAGCCATTATGGCTCTTGACTGGATATAATCAGGACGATTTCTCCCTTCCTTTCTGAGTTTTTTTTTTTGTTGACATGTGAAAGTAAATTGGTCGCAAAACTGAATTAGAAGGAGGAGAACGGCCGTCAGGCCTCGAAAAAAGCGGCCTAAACTTGCCTTGCCCGGAATAAGAGCTGCTTGCTAGCATTTGAACTTGCCTCGGATTTTAGCTCAATCGGAATTTAGTAATCTCACAGATACTCTTTAGATAAATCATCCTTTTTGAGGTTAGAAGTTAAAAACTGACATGGTGGAAATTGTTTCAGTTTGTCTCTTAGCACCAAACTGGTGGTTGGCTAAAATGGTGGTGATGTCACGAGAGGATCAAAAGGCGCCTGTCACGCAACTCATTCACGGTTGTCTTGTCTTCGCGAGCATTTTTTTCATGGCAGTATCCTCTTTATTCTTTTACTACATTCTCTTGAAAGCGTCTGAAAACCTTCACAACAAAATGGCTAATGCAACCATCAAAGCCCCTGTGCTGTTCTTCGACACTAATCCAGCTGGCCGTATATTGAATCGCTTTGCCAAAGACATTGGTTCTATGGACGATGTGTTACCGCCCATTTTTCTACAAGCTCTCCAGTTATGCCTTTCGTCGATTGGTGCTATTTTGGTTCCCGCTGCTACAAACTATTGGCTGTTTTTGGCCCTCCTTCCGATTATTGCAATTTACGTTTATTTCGGAAAATATTTCTTAAAGTCTTCTAGAGAGCTTAAGAGAATTGAGGCCATCAGATGTAGCCCTGTGTACTCACATATCACAGAGACAGTGAATGGGCTTGAAATAGTGCACTCTTCAAATATGAACAAGACATTTCTCGACAGACTTCAGAGGTCAGTCTTTGTATATGTTTTGTACTTGTTATTTTGGCTAGGTCGTCCACACGTACGTTTTTGCGTTTCTAAACAAAGATTCTTTTTTCGTGTTCAAGCTTATCGTATGATGTTTACGGACCATTTACGATTGTCCTTAAAGGTGATGTTACACGAGACAATTCGCAACGACGATTTTTAGCGCAACACAGCGTAGCAATGGTGGAAAAATATTGCAAGCATTCGAAACAATGTTCCCACAATGTTGTAGAGCTGCGTTGTGCTAAAAATCGTCGTTGCGACTCGTCTCGTGTAACATCACCTTAAGAGCTCGTAAACGTTTCAGTTGAAGGGAGCCTGGGCATTGAACACGCGTTGTGACGTCAGCGCTTACAAAACGATCAGTGTATGAAAGTGTGTTGTTTGTGTTGGGATGGAAAGGCTAAGAGCTGAGAAAATTTTTCGTTTACGAAGTCAGAAAGCTGGCGAGTTGACCAGAGAAAGAATGTAATATTTCTTGATCTTTTTTCAATAATATACATGAAAATATTTCTCATATCTGACTGGCTGAGAGCAATACATTTTTTCGTGATCACAGTGCAAAAAAGGTGAACTATAATGCAAATATCTCAGAAAATGAGCTGCTCTATGATTGGCTAATAAACAATATAAATATAAAATAACCAATCAGGTGCCGCAATCGTCAAAGTAACCGTTATACAAAAAAACCCTGCCTTTTGACGCCTTTTCACTCATATGACTGCAAATGTTGATAGGTTGCTTTTGAAAAAATCGGCTAGATATGTACTCCAAAAACGAAAAACACTGTCACGAGTAATACAAATTGATTTAAATGCCGGCAATAAAGAGCCACATCTACCAACTAGCGCTATTTATCGTTATGATCCTTTTTCCAGGTATCAAGACGAAAACACGCAAGCATTCTTTCTTGTGCTGTCGTGTAATCGCTGGTTAGCTCTTCGCCTGGATCTCCTGTCCAGTTTGTTCGTCACCATCGTTGCATTCGGTGCTATTTTACTCACTGAAAATCCAGGTGAGTGAACCATTCCTTGTATCCAAGAAAAACGACTGAAAGTTTCTTTTCATCTTACATTGAATTTATGATTTCACTGCGAACATTAATCTGTAATTTGTAAACGGTAAACAGAAAGCACAACTAGAAAGGACGTTTTTTTTAAGTTTCCTCTGTGTCAGTGAGAAGTTTGTTTTTGTTGCTATATATTATTTCGTTGTCTGCGTTTTGTTCCATTCTTCAGCGTGGAGCATTGTTGAATGCTCATCATGGTCATTTCAACCTACAGAGGTGTATGCTTTATATTTCCAGCAATTTTTAAAATAGATAAAATCATTTAAAATATATAAATAACTTTAATAACATTTTAAAGAGATTTAATACCACGTTTACGACAAACGGCAAAAGTCAAACATCAAATGCAAGTTGACGATTTCTCAAAAAAGAAATTGAACAGGTAAAAACCTTGCAGACTACTTCCTATGGATGAAACTAGCGCGAAAACTCGTTTTTAGGTATAATATACGGTAAGCAACAAGTAAAGGGTAAACTTGGTCACGTGGTACAATTTGACGTTTACTCGATCGTTTTCCTTAAACGTGATTCAAATCTCTCTAATAATTAGACGACAATTTCCTACCATTAGATTTGTCTTTTTACCACAACTAGGTTTTTCTTGTAGATGTCTCAAATTCTTATATTTCCCTTGGGTGGGCACCCCACATGGGTCTAAGTGTCCCATTCGTGCTCTTCCTTTTTGGGCAGTAAGAGTTCATTTCAGAGTTACAAAAACTCCCACTTTCAAACAAGGCTAACTGAAAAATCTTTCTTGTGGAAATGGGTTTCATTTGCAAGCGCAAAAAAAAAAATTCTGAATCGGGGCTTTGCACTTAGCCTCGCTTTGAAACACAGGCTTGAGGTACCGTAACTCGGAAAATGGCCTATTAATTCTTGCTTTTTATCATGTATGTACCGTAAATCCTCTATTTAGCCCACCCCCCTACTCTCCAATAAGCCCCACCGCTCTCTTTTAATCCCTTCCCCCTCTCCCTTATTATTCTTCTCTAATAAATGATAGACTGTATTAATCAATCACCGGACTGTAAAACTTCTTGTACTTGAACTTTTCCACTTTGTTTTTCGGTTCTTTTAGGAAAATTGATACTATCGTCTTTGCGAAATTAAATACCCCCCAAATGGGCTTGAAATAAATAAGTCCCCAGGGGGCTTATTAGAGGATTTACGGCACATTTCATTTTGTTTGACCTTGCCCAATAAAGTATAGTAAGTAGTATGGAAAGTAAAGTAATGTAATTTTGCAAAACATAGCAATATTATTATTATGGTAATTACGTTATTGTTAGTCACCTTTCACAGTTTTAAGTTGTGAGTACTTGATTGGGTATGAGTCGATTTGATTTTGGAATGTCAATCCTTTTATGCCCCCCAGTACTGCTACTCTTTGCTTTGTTGACTAGCAAATAGCCCCTAACCCCACACTTTTTTTCCCTGTTATTTGCGTGGTCCCTACTATCTGAATGCCTGGAACAGGCTGCGGAAAACTTAAAACAAGAGTGGCATCCGACGGAATATAAAGACAGGGATTGATAAATCGTAATTCTCTTTTTTTACTAGCCTTGGCTGGACTGGCTCTCTCGTACGCGCTTCAGACATTAAACGGAACTCAGTATGGCGTTAGACTTTCTTCAGAGGTAGAGAACTGGATGACGTCCGTCGAACGTGTTTTCACGTACACTGAAATTGAAGCTGAGCCCGGTTACAGCACCGACACACGCCCCTCGGAGTCTTGGCCCGATAGAGGAGATCTGAATGTACAAGACCTTTCTCTTGTGTACTTTGAAGGCGGACCGCTTGTGTTAAAAGATATTAGCTTTTGTGTTAAGAGTAAAGAGAAGGTAGGAGTTGTTGGTCGCACTGGTGCTGGAAAGTCATCTTTGGTATCTGCTTTGTTCCGTATGCCTGAACCTGTTGGTAAGGTAAGTTAGTCCTTGGAGTTCGATATTTCACGCAAACAGATAGACGGATGGACGGACGCACGTAGCGTGCAAGCAAGCACCGCTCGGGGTGTCTGCGCGCCCAGAGCCAAGGACGCACTGACAGAGAAACAGACTTTGTTTAATTATCTAATGGTTTATTTATTTTACACAAAGAGTACATGGAACTTAATTCCGTTTCACAGAGCGGACAAGTAAGAAAATGCATGTGTTATAGTTGCAGTTTCATCCTTTTCGATCAATAATGGATTCACTCGGTGCTGTGTAAAACAAACCTGCTGATGAAAGATTCCCTATGGGATAGTATTTGGCATACTCCACTTGGATACACTTGCCAATGATCCTAGCTAGTGCTGTAATTTATATTCTTAACCGTTTTATGCTCGATTTGGTTTCCTTGCAGTTCATGTACAAGTTCCACTAGAACTTGTACATGAAGTGCACGATTTGTGTAACTATGTAACATGGTAACACATTTTTTTCTTTTGACAGGTTTTAATTGATGGCGTTGATATCACCTCTCTTTCGATCCAAGAAGCTCGAAGATCTATGGCTGTTATTACCCAGGATCCGGTGCTATTTGGAGGTTCTCTAAAAAAGAACATGGACCCATTCTCACAGTACACGGATCAACAACTCTGGACAGCTCTTGAGGAGGTGCAGTTAAAGACAGTTGTAAAAGATCTTCCAGGGCAGCTCAACTTTAGGTTAAGAGAATCCGGAACAAACCTTAGCGTTGGAGAGAGACAGTTGGTGTGTCTTGCTCGTGCATTGGTGCAAAGAAGCAAGATTATTATCATGGATGAGGCCACAGCTAATGTAGACTTCAAGACTGATCATCTCATCCAGGAAGTCATTCGTCACAAGTTTAAGGATTCTACAGTGCTGACCATTGCACACAGACTTAACACCATTATGGATTATGATAAGGTCTTAGTTCTTGACGGTGGACGGGTGGTGGAGTTTGACAACCCAGACGTGTTGATAAGAAATGATGGATTGTTTGCAGAGATGGTTAAGAGCCATAATCAGAGTGTAAAAAGTTGAGGACATGGCGAACTAAATTGACATAAACGGACATTTCAGTTCTAACAATGAGCTGACTGCTGAAAAACCCTTACTTCACACTGAAATCCTGAAAAGGCAGTGTGAAAAGTGGATTTTTGAAGAACGACGATATATTTTGTACACTTACTTCAAGGCTGTGCTTTAAAAAAAAA